GGGGCCATAGCGTTGGTGCAGAACCCCCTCAGCTCAGGTCGCACGAAACACATCGACGTGAGGTATCATTTCATCCGCGGATTGTTTAGGTCGGGGGATATTTCGGTCAAGTTTGTTCCGTAAACGGAGCAACACGCGGGCCTCCTTACCAAGGCCCTTAGCAGGGTCAGTCTGCAGTACCACCGGCGCAAGCTGATGGATTTGCCGGTGTAGATGTAGCAGTTTTTAGCACTTGCCTTGGATTTTTTGGTAAGTGCGGCCGTTGTAAGCCGCTATGATAGCGACGTTTTTTTTTTGTGGTGGAAGGGTTTTTCCTTGAGGGGTTTTGCCCGGACGCCGGGTTTCCCCTCCATATGTTACCATGTTGGTATTTTCTGATGTATCCTGGGGCGTTCTTGCCCAATTGATGGTTAGTCACTTGCGTGAAGAACCAGGGAGTGTGTTCGTGACCCTGCAAACATTGCTGTTGGATACATGTGCTGGATGATTTTGTGTCACGCAGACTGGTAAGATAACCGTTTGATAGGGGGCACCGCGATGGTTCACGGGGCCCCTCCTTGCTGTGGGAGCCGCTCTTTGAGCACTCCCTCTTTCGTCCGTGTGAAGGATGGTCGTCTACCTCCCGTGAAGTTAATACATCACCAAAACAGTCTCACCCGATAAATAAGTGGCGTAGGCCGCAAACACTCTAGAGTTTTGCCCCTCGAGGGAAGCCACATCGGGATGAGCTCTGCTGGAGACGAAGAGCGCGCTGCTGCGAGCGGAGAACAGATCCGCCCGCCAGTGCAGGAGGGCCGCGACGCGGAGCTTGCAANGGTCGGTCTCCAAGTTTGTAACGCAGCGGTACTCTTCTTCGCAGTACCACCTCGAACTGTCGGTGGCAGTTTACAGATGAACGCGTCCAACTTTATAGTTTCCTTTGGACATGTGGCCAGCACGAACGGGTACCGCCCCGAAATCACATGTAACGTGGGTCCAAGTACAAGACATAAACATTGAACTTGGAAGGTTGGATCTCGATTCAATAGCATACTACGTACACCNGCCAGCACGAACGGGTACCGCCCCGAAATCACATGTAACGTGGGTCCAAGTACAAGACATAAACATTGAACTTGGAAGGTTGGATCTCGATTCAATAGCATGCTACGTACACCAGCTAGCGGTAGATGCTACATACAGATCTCTTGTGCGATGCCTTGCTTTGGTCTGCTTTCGAAGGGCTGTGACACCAGGTCGTGCACGTGCCTGCGGACGATTACCAATAACGCGGAGGATCTATAGCAGCATATTATTTAGGTTTGACCTCGTATGCCTGGGTGTCTCTTACACAAATGAAGTAACCCTTTTTCAATAGGTGAGCATGCGAGCTGCATGACAATCAATCAAGGTTTAGTTGTCTTGTGCCAGCCTGATGTAGGTGCACCCGTGCGGCTTCACACACACACGCGTGCCCGTGGGCGCTGACCACCACAGCAGTAATTGAATTTTGACCTCGTAATTCTTACTTGACTCTGTACCAAATGGAGTTATTCCTTTTGCAATAGGTTATTATGTGAGCTCAGTAGGTTAATCAATCAANCTTGTGCCAGCCTGATGTAGGTGCACCCGTGCGGCTTCACACACACACGCGTGCCCGTGGGCGCTGACCACCACAGCAGTAATTGAATTTTGACCTCGTAATTCTTACTTGACTCTGTACCAAATGGAGTTATTCCTTTTGCAATAGGTTATTATGTGAGCTCAGTAGGTTAATCAATCAAGGGTTGTGTGCATCATGCCAACCTCGTGTAAGCTAACCCACCGCCGTCACACGCGTCCCTACGTGTGCTGCCACCACGAGCGGGATCCCAACAACAAATTTGAGTTTTGACCTCGTCATGCTTACGTGCCTCTTATCCAAATGGAGCCATTCCTTTTGCAAAAGACGCATACATAAGCTGAGTACGGGACACAACCCTAACCCTCGATCTTCATGCCAGAGATATGAAGATTCTGATGTGCCACCCTACTGAGTACGTGATGTCGGGGGCTCTCTTCTGGTGGTGCACTCGGAGCCTGCTCCGGATATCAACTGCTACGCTGCATTGTCGAACCAAAAAGCCGCCCCGACTCGTAGTGTATGCGTAACTCAGCGTACCTTTGTCGGAGATTGGACGCCTAAGTTCCTGCCTCGCTCTCTGTCGACGTTGATGTGCGGTGAGCACTGTGCGGATCTTCGCCGCGTGCTTGGCGGGGTTTCCAGGGGGGGGGACACGTTCCCGTTGGAGGCCTTGTTTCACCCATATTTTCCATTTTGTTTTTCTACGCGCACAGGAGAACCGCAACCTGTAGTTCGTTCGACCCCATTGTTCAGCATATGGCGTGTACGGAACAGGGGGGGATTTCTTTGTGCACGAGCACAGCACAAGCCTTTGAATATTCGCAATTCGTCATTTTCCCACATCTGAACATCCCCGTATCCGTTGTAACTGAGTGCAGCTAGCTGGACGCTGGCTACGGACACGGCCGCATCTTGAAAAACGTGCGCGGCCACCACCTCCAGGAATTTCTTGCAGTG